CGGGAAGGGGCGCTATAAAAGCCCCGGTGCTATTTACGCCGCGCGGGTTTGGGGTGTGGCGGGGGCCGAGGGAGGAGGTGCGTGAGGCATTCTGAGCACCCGGCTGCAGGGATTCGTGCAACAGTGCCTCGTTTGCCTACAGTTCGCTCAGTTCCCTGTTTTCTTGTAGTGGATTCCCACCTCGAGTGCTGTGCCCAGCTCTGGGTCCCTCAGTTCGGGAGGGACGCTGAGGTGCTGGAGCGGGTCCAGACAAGGGCAACAGAGCTGGTGAGGGGTCTGGAGCACAAGTCCTGTGAGGAGTGGCTGAGGGAGCTGGTGATGTTCAGCTTGGAGAGAAGGAGGCTCAGGACTGACCTTATCATTCTGCAGCTCCGTGAAAGGAAGTTGTAGCCAGGTTGGGATTGACCTTTTTCTCCCAGGCAGCCAGTGATAGGACAAGAGGACACAGTCTTAAGCTGTGCCATGGGAGGTTTGGGTTGGACATCAGGAAGAATTTCTTCACAGAAAGGGTGATTATTGGGATGGCTGCCGAAGGAGGTGGTGGAGTTGCCATCTGTGGAGGTGTTTAGGAAACACTGGATGTGGCACTTTATGCTGTGTTGATTTGGTGTTTGGTCATAGGTTGGACTCGATGATGTCAGAGGTCTTTTCCAGCATAATTGACTCTCTGGAAGGCATACATGGAGTTGTATCACTGTGCTCCATTTGCCTGTGGGCCTTTCAGTTCCCTCCTGCTTCCAGTGGAGCCCGTGAGCTGTGCTGTTGACAGACACTGGGAAGAGCTGTTGGAGCTGGAGGAAGCCAGGGAGCTCACAGGCAGTGTAGGAAGGGGCTGGAAGGGTTGGATTCACTGGCAGTTCTCACTGACAGGATCTCCTGAGCATGTCTATGGTCAGCCTGATGGCAAGGATTGCCCTTTTCCCAGGATGCAGAGCCCTGTGGTTGGTGCAGTGTATCCTGGAGGAAGGGTACTGCCTCCTTCTTGTTTCCCTCCTTGCCCACCTGAGAAGGTTCAACAGGTGGAACTGGCCCTAGGGGACTTGGGGGGCATCACTGGGAAGAGAATGTGTGTACAGAGGGGATTGATGTCAAATACCCTCTGCTGTCTTTCAGGGTTCCCTTGTGCAGCAGGCACAGGAGCCTTTAGCTGGCATGTGGGGATAACGTATTTAACCTGGGTTTCCCTAGAAGCTGGTGCTGTGCCAATCCTAGTACATGATCTTAAGTGCTTGTCCCCATCCCCGTTCCTTCCTTATTTGACAGCATTTGCATTGCCAGCTAACTTTAGCCTGACCTTTTTATGGCCTGCACTCTGTCTGCAGAGGAAGGAGCTGCTTAGCCCCTGTCACTAAGCATGTCCCTGTAAAGCATTGCAAGGAGCTGACTTTTTTAATCAGGCAAATGTTTGATACAAACTGGTAAATGCTCGGTACTGATTCTTGACAGACAGCTGACAGTGTGCACAGTCAGAGGCCTGTGATAGTTTGCCCTGTGGCTGACCAGTACACCTGCACCTCTGACATTGGGACAGAAAGCCCATTTGTCTGAAGCCTGTAGTGAAATTACCTGTGGCTTGGACACCAGCTTGGTGGGGCTTGAACCAGAAATCAGTTATTTTTAGGCCATAGGTTCTTTTCATAATTGTTTTTTTATTCTCACTGTTTGATAGAGATCCTTGTGGCCAACTACTTTTTTTCATGGTCCCTTGGGAAATTTGGCCTTTGTTTACAAAACACTGTCAGGTGTTTTGATCACAGTATGTGTGTGCTCCTTTTCCTAGGGCAGCAGCTCCTTGCCCAGGGCAGAGAGCTCTCTGGTTTGGATGGGTCTGTGGCCCCAGGTGGGCATCATGTTAATCAAAGTACTTCAGGAGCTGATTCTTCCCAATTGGTAAATAGGTAACTTTTAATGGATTGAAAGCTTTGATTTTAATCAAGGTAGCCAACAAGCTCTACTGCCAGGAATAAGGATCCTCAGTCTGACTCTCTGGTAACCACAACTTCTGAAGTTGTCTGTAGTGTGAACTTGACACCTTCTCTTGTCTCATGTGTGTGCCATTGTTCAAAACATCCTGACTTTCATGTTATGGCCAGGATCCAAGTAGTTTTTAAGCTTCAAGGATGGGAATGTGATAAAGAAGTGCAGCTCTTCTGACAGGACACATGGAGAGTTCATTTATGAGTAAAAAGCAATATATTCTGAAACAATTAGTTTGGTCATAAACATAAGTCCCCCTTCCCCCCAAAAATAATTCTTTTGCAAAGATAAGGGTTCAGAATGGGAAAATGAGTTTAATAGCAAGGAACACCCCAGAATATCTTTTGCAGATATTTTTATTGCAGAGATACCTTTTGCAATCAATTCCACTTAAGTCAGGCAGTCTTCTAACTGTGGTACAGCTATCAGAAAAAAAACCCAAAAAACCCCAAGAACTGAGAGGAAATAATAGGAAGCAGTAGCTGATAAGATTTCTTTTCCCCTTAGAGAATGTACCCAGGGTTATATTTTTGATCAAGCTGTACACTTGATTGAAGAGTAAATGTAGTTTTTGTGTCAGGAAACAATGAAAGCTTGCTTCCAACACCACAGCATTGACATGGTTGTCTGTAAACTGGGAATAGCATCTAGAAATGCTTGCCAACTAAACATGATGCTATGTCATTGTTGTCTTTGTTCTAGAGCTATAAGCAGAGGAGTGTGTTTTACTGTCTACCCCAGTAAAAATATGGGTTTGTGTGTGGCATTTAAAAAAAAAACCCAAACAAAATTTCCAGCAACTTACCCTTTGCAGCTGATTTGGATATCCAGCTCCTCCTAAAGTCAGGAACTTTCATCTGAACCCAGGCTGCTCACATTCATAAAGGATGAAAATTAGCAGGTCAAGCCACTCCAAATATGCAAAGTGTCTTCCCAGGTTCCTCATATGTGGCCTAATTAAGCAAATGGGAACTCTCCCAATGGTGCCAGTATAAAAAAAAAAATGTGAAAGCAGCAGAGCCCAAACCAAAAGGAGATCTATTTCTTCCATGTAGGACATCATTCTTCCTCTCTCCGCAGTCTACACTGTATTTAGGCCAAGTGCAGGCCTTGGTCACGTTAGTTTTTGATCTGTCTCACAGATAAACAATCCTGAAGGACAAGTCACCTGTCTGAAGTCCTGAAGGAAGTGGCCACCTTGAAAGCCAGACCTTTAGCCTCCTCCTTCCCTGTTGCTGTAGCAATTAACTCGCCTTTGTCTGTCCATGGTCGGTAGCTTCCAGGACTGTCAATGTGCTGCTGTCACGACAGCCCCAACAAAGGGGAGAATTCCAGTGCTCTGAACAGGGGATTTTCTCAGGAAAGAGAACTGCCTGTCTACAGGGATACGGAAATCCAAAGCCTCTGATATGCAGAGGGGGAACAGAAGCTCCCAAAAGTTGCTGGCCTCTAGTCCAACACAGGCTCTTGGGCGTGGTTGGAGAAATGAAGCCTATGAGCCCCAGCTCAGTTTAGTTGAAGTGTCTGACACAGGCACAGGTTTGTGTGGGGCACAGGCACCTCCAAACTGGCATGGGTCAGGCTTCCCTGTTGCAGGATTGCAGGAGAAAGCAGCTCTGTATTTCCCACTGAGAGAATCCCTGGTATGGAAACCCTTGAGGCTCAGAGGGACACAGACCTTTAAAATCCTACAGCAAAGCCAGCAGAAATCTTTGTGTTCTCTATTCCCTGCCCAAGTGTGGGATCCTCCTGGTTTCCTCCTGCAAAGATTTATTACCTGAACTGAAAGTTTATCTCGTGTCCCTATGTGGGATTGTGTATCCAGGAGGCTGTACCTCTTAGAGACCCTGACTGACTCTTGGGCATGACAGCTCCAGACAGCAGTGACTTGCACAAGCTCATCCCTTAATCCCAGTGTGACCCACCTTCCTCTCTCCCACAAATAGAGCACAAGCAGCTCCTCCTGCAGTCCTGAAAGCCTTTCCCATATTTCACTATCATTTTTTTGCAAGTTGTTTATTTTTGGCGTAATTCTCTTAGCTTGTGTCTCAGTTGTAAGCTGAACAATTATTTAATTTATTTCACACCAACACAGCAGCCTTGCTTCAAGTGCGTGGTAGCTGCTGTGGCAAGAAAATGCAATGGCAATGAGTAAGCTTACCTTGTGGTATGTGCAGTGAGACTTAATTGAATTAAAAACCCTATCAGAAAAATCTACAGTTTTCCTAGCAGGCAGCAAGCAAGACCAGTGAAGACCAGTTTATGCTCAAAGACTAAATTATCCCAGAACTCTGAGTTTGTAAATGGAGCAGAACAGACAAAATTCAGAGATGTTTAGTAGAATCCAACAATAACTCTGTTAGAGAAACTTTAATGCTTTGTAAAACAATAGATAATAGAGGGGGAATAGAAGATTTGAATTGTACAGTAAGGCATTTAATATTGACTCTTTTTGTGCAGTTTAAGATAATCTGATTGTTTTCTTCCTGTTTTCTGAATTTAGAAATATTTGAAAGAGCTCTAGTAAACTATACCACGAGAAAGTGAAATAAAACCACTTTCCACTTTAAATTTTAAAGGATAAACTGAAGAGAATATATTGATGCGTCTTGATCCTGAAATAATTAAGCTTCCCCAACATTTTACTAGTATTTCAAAATTGTTTTTTCTGTGAAGTGCCCATGCCCTCCTTTTCCAGTTTTGTTTCAAGAACCAGCATAAAAGCCTTTAGCCCTAAGCATGAGGCACAAAAACATTCAGCACATGCAACACTTCACTTATATCCCAGACTGGCATGTCAGCAGTGGGATCACATCAGGGATAGCATCCCCCTGGGACTAAATTTTCATTTGTAGTTTCATCCTCCCATTAAATTCTCAGTAAATCCAATATTTTTTCTCACAGGCAGAAGGGAAGGACTGGCAGGTACCCCCTCAGTGTGAAAGAGGCTGTAGCTGGGCAGGAAGGACAGATAGACCTGGCAGTGACCTACTACAGGAACCTGCAGTCCTGCCTGGGCAGGACAGTGCCTGTGCTGCACTCTGGAGAAGCCAAACCTCAGAAGGATGAGAGCAGGACACATGACATGAGCTTTCACATCTGGAAGGAAAAGCAGGTCCTGGCCATGCCCTGCTGCTGTGAGAGGCTCACCCAGCTCAGCTGCAGCAGTGCAGGATGAGAACTGGAGCTTTAGCAGCACTCGGTGCATTTGGCAGGAGGGTCCTGTACCACCGGGAAACTCTTGTCTGCATGCAAAAGGTGAGACAAAATGCATAATAACCTTGGCTAGTCAAGTCTCCTGCTCCAAGTGACGCTCGGACAGACTTTTAGGCCGCTCGCTTTTAGTGCTTTCTGACAGAGGAGGGAGCTGTCAGCTCAGCTTTGAGTTGCTCAGCAGGCAGACATGCCCACCTGGGAGCTGACTAAGCTGTCTGGGCAGCCCACCGAAGGGAGATGTTAAGCCTGACTTGCAGGAGGTGGAATGCTAACCTGAAAGTGCTTTAATCTTTTGCTTTAAGTGCATCTATGGGGTGTTTTGTGTCCCTGTGCAATGAAAACCACAGTCACCGGCCTGCAGGGACAGTGGGAGCAGCAGGCTTGAGCTGTCTGAAGGTGGAACATTTGGCAGTGGGGTCTTGCACTTTCCCTGGAAAACTGGAGCCTGTGCAAGACCTTCCTGTTAATGTCCAGAGCCAGAGCCGCCTCCTCTGTGCCTGGGCGATGCAAGCAGCCCTTTTATCTGGGAGACCTGCCAGGCAGCAGAGGCAGGCAAGGAAACAGCAAAGTTAAACTGGTCTGAGGTTGACTCAAGCCAATGTGAACTGGTCTGAAGTGGAATAACAACCTGATCCTATCAGCCATTTCTCCTGGTACGACCCGTCAGTAGCCTTCCTGCCTCAGCCAGTGGCAGTGTTACGAGGTATGGCTTAATTACAGCCCTGAAATAAAAAAGAATTTCTTCATTAGATGTTGCTTTACAGCTGCATCAGTCATCTTCTGTCCAGCTGCTCGTGGCAGAGCTCCAAGTGGGCTGAATGGGGCTGGTTTGGCAGGTACGAAGGGAGGTGGTGGTTGGAGCGCGCAGCTGGGCAGAGCGGGGCTGAGTCAGAAGCTCCTGGTGACGTTGCTGAATTCAGTTTGCCACAAAGATCTTTTTCTCCTTCACACTGGAGCTGTGTTTCTGCCTTCAGAAATGTGGCTCAGACCCAGTCCCTGGGAGTCACACGCATTCATTCCTTGGCCGTTGAAAAGAGGCAAGTAGGAAAACGTGGTGTCTGTGTTACATGTTTGGGGACTGGTTTCCACCACGCTTGTCTTCTGACAGTAGTTAGGTGACAAAGATTGAAAGCCTGTCTTCCCACCCAGGGTATTGTGCTTTATTTCTCAAGCCACACAGATAACCCCTGGCAGATGACTTCATTTTAAATTGTAGTGAGACCCTGAACTGATGATTTAGGAGCACCTGTTTTCTTTGTTGTGGTTCTGATTTTGGTGTGTTGCTTTGTGCCCCAGAAAGATGGATTGTTACTTGGCTAAGGCTAAATGAGGAGGTTATACCAAATGCTGTGTGAAATGGAATCTCTTTTTGGTCTGAGTCAGTCCTTCCAAATCCTGTTCCTCTTTCCCCCAGGTACTGGTGCTAGAAACCAGCAGCCTTTCCTCCGCCTCAGTCGATGTACCAGCATCAGTGCTGATGTTCTGAACTGCTCTGAATTAATGGTAAATCTTATGTGTCTTGTATAGCAGAGACTGACTCACATCAGCTCACTTGATCACTTATTCTAGGAAAATAACACTCAAATTTGCCAGAGAACTGTCCCTGACACACTGAAATACTTGTGACTTCAAAGCTTTTGCAACTCAGAATGGCAATTTCTGTATGTTTTCCTCTAAAATTGTTCATATTGAAATATGGGAATTGCACTAAGAGCCTTGACAGACTCTTCAATTTGAGAAGATTTTAAAATTGATCACATTCAGGAACCTTTGTTCCAGGCAACTCAGCTCAGACTAATGTAGAGTTGCACAAAAACTGCCCTAAGAAGAACCAAGGCATAAACTTGGAATTTAATGTCTCAAATTCATGCAGAGTTTGTTTTAAAGAATATTTTAGTCTCAGTAACCCAGGAAAGGGCTGTATTTATCTGGAAAAAGTGTCTTTTCCCAGTGATAGCCTTAATTCAGTCCTTTTATGGTTTTTTTTCTGTCATTTTTTTTGGACAAGAAGCAAAAGGTGCAGGAGCAAATACTGCAGAGGCATAGAAGTTCCCCTCTTGTATGAGAGGAGCGGAGGTTTAAATGGGAAAAAGTCTTGCTTTTAGACTTCTGAGTTTTGGCACAAGTCCCAGTGGGATGTGTGTGACTGGCCCTCCCCAGCTTCTGCACAGTGTTGCATTTCTTCACAAAAATAGGACCTTTGCTGGTTCTGGGGTAAACAGAGAAAAACATAGGGGAAATGTTCTGGGCAAGGGGGAGCAAACGGGGTGTGAGGTGTGTGATAGATGGCTCTGGGTTAACTGCTCCTGCTGAGTACCTTTATTGTTCAATATGCTCAGTAAGGCTGTATCCCAGGGCTGCTGGACCCTCCTGCTCTCTCAGACCTTCTGAGGGACTCTGCAAGGGTAGCTCAGGCGTGGCTGACTGATCTCTGACTGGCAGCAGGACGAGTTACATCTCAGAACCACCTCATAAACCTCTAAAATCTTGGAAAACCGATTTCCTTGCAAAAAAGCCAAGACAAAATATGCAACATTGAGCCAAAATAACATTTTGTTATTTGGAGATTGACCTCAACTCAATTTCTGATGCTGAGTTCAGGCTGAGCTGCTGCTTAAGAGCCAGCCAGAGAAATTGTGTGTGTGTGTGCTGTTACCCCCTGGAAGTGAAGGTGCTGAGGTAAAGCCTGACCAAGCCACAAAGGGTGAAGCTGTGTTATGTAGAGGAGGGCAATGCAATTTCTAGTGGTCACTGCTGTTCTGGTGCAGTGCAAGGGTTTCTCACACGTTATCCTCCCCTCTACAGCAGCAACAAACTTTATTGCAAATGTGCAATATAAAAAACAAGAACACTGCAGTGCTTTATTGTGACACTGTTCCCTCTCCTCCCCATGCTTCTGGTAGAGCTCTGCACTCAAAATTCAGATGCAGCTCACATTTGGTGTGATAACAGAATAAACTATAGGATTAAAAATGTTCCTGGATCTCCCTTTAAATGCTTTCCCTTCTCGCTATGGCATCCTTGGCATCCCTGGGGATGGGATTTGCACTTCTGTGCTCTGTTGCTGCAAAATTAAGCCTGTGGCAGTGACACTTGGAGGAGGGAAGGGAGGTTGTGTTGAGGTGGACTAATGTCAGAAATCACTTGTGTTTAATAGCTTTTACTATGAATAATATGTTCCCTACAACATGAGGTAGTAGGAAAAGGAAGGGAAATATGAGAGTATATATAATCAGAGTTTCTGAAAATCCTTTTGGATGTGCTCCCCCTCCTCATATTTACAGCAGCTCCCTACAGATGTTCTTTAGCTGGAAGAGGTTCATGAAGTATTTTTTCAAGACAGCTTTTTTGTCAGGAAGAGATGAAAATCTTAAACCAAAAATGTCTTTCAACTTTAAATTTGGAGTTGTTGTCATAATGTATTTCTTCACAGAGCTGCCAAAGAGGTTTTTAAAAGCGCTATTTATGCATGTGCATTAAAAGCAGGAGCACACCATGGCCATATGAAATTAATTTTCTGGTTTTGAAGCTTGCAATTAAGGTTGGGACAAATGTTCCTGCTGGTTGTTCCTCCTGCAGTCACTCTTGTAAAACTAAAGGAGAATCACTGACATGAAAGCTCTGTTGGTGTCATTACTGCTGGGCTGCTTTGCTTTGTGGAGCGTCAGCTCCTCTCTGGTTAGAGTGACACTGTGTAAGGCTCTTAAAATCCTGCTGAAATCCCTGAAGCCTGTGAAGGGATCCCTCATTAAAAATGCTGGAAGACAGTCTAAAGTGTCACTCGCTGTAGAGAATGAGCTTGTTGACAAGACCACATTAAACTCAGCACTTTTAGCAAGCACAGTTTGCAAACCCAGAGAGATGGAGCATAACGTGTTCCTGCTTCCCTTCTTGTTTCTGTCTGGATGGAAAACAGAAAAACACTCTGGGGAAACTATCTCATGTTTTCAGTGAGAAAAAACCTAACTTAATCTAGACTTCATGTACAAGAGAGGAGGTTAAAAAAAAAGACAGCAAGGCCTGGTTTGTAGATGTGGTATTCTTGTGCAACTCAATGTGAGATCGTCCTCAGGATGAAGTAGGAAGTACACAATCACTGCTAAGACAATGAAAATTGAAGGCATGCCACAGGAGGAGAAATTAAGATAATATTTCAATGCAAATGTCCCTATAAAATAAGTTTTTCACCAGGAAAAGATGTGGATAGCCCTGTGCTTCGTGAGTGTGTGATACACTGCACTAGGAACTACAAATATTCCCAGCACAGGTAAAGGGAGAGATTCTCCTCTGGATCAAACACAGATGTCTGTGAGAAGCATTGCTACTGATGTGAGAACAGATGATGGCTGTGGAGCAGAGATCCCTCTGAGCACTGGCCCTTGCCTGGCATCACTGAAGGAATTTGGCCAGACCTGTTTGGTCATGAGTCAAAGTTGTGCACCCGAGTTCCAAACAACTGGAGCTATAAACAGTTTAAACTGATTTTCAGTGGAGTTCAAAGATGAATAATGCATCTCTTCAGGCTCGTAAGTGATCTTTTATTCACAGAAAATCAAAGCAATGTACAAGTGCAGTTGCTGGCCTTGGGGAGGGGAGTCTGAATGACTGCTCATCATTCACAGCAGCTACCAGAGGTGATGTGACATCTGAAAGGAAGAGATGAGAGCTCCATGGCAATTTGTTAAATAAAAACCACCTCAGTATCTTGCTAAATAGCTGATAATCAAAGGTGAAGAATTCTAATCTGCTGTTCAGGGCTTCAGTAGCAAAAAGAGGAGCTCACGGGTTACAGCCTACGAAAGTTTTTCTTCCATAACTTCATGGAAATTTGCTTGTATCCATGGAAATTCCCTGTGACAGAATTCCTTGTCCTGCTACTGTAAGTCTGTGCTGCTCAAGACACTCTGCAGGCACTACTGAGTGTTTTGTCCATCACTGCAGTCCATTCTGTTTGGTTTGGTGGCTAAAG